TCCCCATTTCTCCAGACGGGCGCAACCTTGTCCCTGTCTCTTATACACATCTAGATGTGTATAAGAGACAGCACACACACACACACAAGCACGCGCACAAACACACGCACACCCAACATCCCCTCCCCCGCACTCACGCGCGAGCGCGTTGGCAGTGAACGGCGGATAACGGCGGATAACGACCGAGTACGGATAAGGAAAAGGGCACAGAAGTGAAGCCTGAAGTGATGATAGACATACCTTCTAAATGATCCTTCCCATTATCGAGCCCGTCTCTCTTCCTCTCTTGTGATTGTGCTCTTCGTTTATAACTCCCCCTTCCTCCCTCGTCGGCCCGTTCGCACGCTTTCTCCCGCCGACCCTCCAATTAAGTAATATGGTGGGGTTTGGCTGTCAAGGGCTTCCGCACCTTCTACCGACTTCTGTCCTCCGTAATACCCCACTAGAGCAGAACCCCAACAACCCCAATTTCGTTCAGATCAACAATCTCAAAGCACTACCTGTAAAATTTACCGACAAAATTAACGTACGCAATTGCCATCATTCTTGCGCCAATTACTCTTCACACATAGAAATCGGTCATGAAAGACGATAATCCAAGCTGCTACCTTTGCACACCAAAACACCGCCGGAAACTGGAACAGACCTCAGAAGAAAACTCGGGGAAAAAAACGAAAAAAAAACTTGGAAATTGCCGATTGCCAGTGTCATTGCGCGCGCTCTGCACGCAACCATCCACGACCCGAATCTCTCTTCTGATTGCTCCTCAGCAATCAATCAATCAATCGAACAAACAATCAATCAATCAATCAATCAAACAATCAATCAATCAATCAATCAAACAATTAATCAATCAATCAATCAAACAATCAATCAATCAATCAATTAATCAATTAATCGATGACCGATCACTGGATACGAATCACAAATTACCAGGGCCGCAATTCGTCCGGCCATCTCCCGGCCTCGATCCCGACATCGCTCGCTCGCCGCCAGGCGTCCGCCACTGTCAACCCCACGCGCCTTCGCGCCCGCTGTCCCGCCAAAAATGTCGCGCTTGAACACCACCGCGCCGTCGCATACGCTTTCCCGCCAAAACCGTCGTCGCTCTTCAACACCCCCGCACCTTCGCATACGCTTTCCCGCCAAAACCGTCCGTCCGTCGCTTACCACGCTCAGGCGAATCACGGTACTAACCCGCCGCCACAGCTCTCGCGCACAATCTCGCCGCCACAGCTCTCACACACGCACTTTGCCCGCCAAACGTCGCGCACAATCTCGTTTCCGCCCACCCGCGCGCGGGCTGCTAACGACGCACAGCGCTGCCCGCCAACCCACCAGTTGCTGCCCGCCGCCGCCCGCTTCCCTCTTCCCCTGTTGCCGACTGACGTGGCGCAGTGATTGCCCGGCCGCTCAGCGAAAATCAACGAGTAATGGAGGCGGGAATCTGCATCTACCGCCGCCTTCTCTTCGTGGGCAAATGGCGCAGCGTCTCTCTCTCTCTCTCTCTCTCTCTCTCTCTCTCTCTCTCTCTCTCGTTGGAGAAAGAACGAAGGGCGCGGGATGCAAGCGGGCGCGCGAGAGCCAACGAGGCGGCGCTGACGAGGAAACGAAGACCACGACGGGAGCGAGCGAGGAGATTCGTTCACTGTCTCCCCTAACCACTGGTAGAGCCTGACTCCGAGCGAGGAGATTCGTTCACTGTCTCCCCTAACCACTGCTAGCGCCTGACTCCCCCAGTTGGCATGAGTGGAAAGTGACGCGTGTTATAAAATAAAATAAAATAAAAAGGGGGTGACGCGTGTATACTGGCAGTTTAACCGGACGTGTACATTCACCCCTGCTCACATTCGGCGAGTAGTGGGGCGAGGACCACAGTAGTTCGATGATGTCTGCCCCATCTGGGTTGTTTCTGCCTTCACCAGCAGAGACCAGCACAACCAAGCGTTGGTTCAGTGTTTTTTTTTTGCTCCCATTTTTTCGTTGAATCACAATACGGGCCACCTGCCGCACAAGCCGGGTTTAGGAGGTGATGGATTCACTTCCCACACAACATAAGCGGTGTTCCCCCCTCTAGAGCCCCCCCTCCCCCCATCAGCATTCAGTGCCCTCACCGGCAGAAACAGGGGGGCAAGTCTCACTTGAATTCTCAGTTTACAGAGATCTAACCGCGCCCAGGTGACCCTACCACTCAGGACCGCCATAGCTGGCTGTTCCGCTGTGGTATTTGTCTGGCGCCATCATTCCTTGTGCGTCGAGAGTGAGGGCGATGCGTCCAATACACGCTATTTGTCAATAAGCTCGGCGTGTCGTTTGGCACATTCAATCTTCAGATATCGAAACTAGTGAATCATCAATGTTGGTGACAGTGAGTGACATGTCCAAACTTGCTCGGGTTTCCACCAGATCTGAGGAGGTGGAAGCGGTTGCAGGACAATACCGGTCTTCGTTGAGCTGCCACTGTCAGGCATAACGGTTATACACCTTGCGGTAAGTATTGGACCTCACGGTCGTGTCACGCATGAGTAAGGTATCATGTTGAGTCAGCGGAGATACCTCTCCGACCATGCATGCCACCTATACCTCTCACGGTTCCCTGCAACGAGACAGAGTTTCGTGAGGCACGACTCACGTCTACCTGAGGGGTTGTCACCACCCTTAGCTAGGCGTATCCCTGTTGAGCTACCAACTCACGTGCGAAGGTTTTTACTTACAATCGCAGAGGCCAGTCAACCGAGGGCGTTTACTCGGTCGTCGTAGCATAGGCATACGCGCGGGTGAAAGCCTAAGACTGACCCGTATACGTGTCGGGCATCGACGCTGATCTCTCGGACCGACTTACGATTCGGGTCGACTTGATTGATGAACTTTCACACATATAATATTTTACCCAATTGCCCTTAACCCATACGTTATTCATGTTAGATAAATAATTTACAATCAATGTACGTATTACAACGAATACGTTTCAAGGATCAAGACTTGTAGGCAATAAGATATCTTTATATTTTCACACAAGCAAAGGCAAACATCAGGATGGACAAAGCTTTGACTTTTGAAAGAGAAACAAACAATAGGTTTTTGGTCTTTCAGTCATACATAAAAAATAAAATAGGTGTGTGACCCTAATTTATTTAACATCAAGAAAGAGTAAAGTCGATATTCAAATCAAATGTACAAACGTTACGTGTTGATGAAGTGTCTAAGTCAAGGCTCAGATAAGCATAAATTTATCAATGCGAGTTACGATATGAATAACACATGGCTGATCGTTTCACTGGTCTGCAAAATTAAAAAAAAAAATGCATTACATAATTATAACAAAGTTAGTCAACTGTCTCATCTGCTTTCGGTCATTCAATGACTATTTTTAACCAAACACAATCCCTTTAGATAATGACCCGAAAATTAGAAATTCCTTTTAGTGTTGAGGTCGATGCAAAGTATAGGTGTCGAGAGTGAGTGAAGGTTGAGTCGGCGAACCGACCTTTCACCATAAGGCAACATCATGTAGTCTTGTAAAGATTTATAACGAGTTATCTTGGAAGTGAAGGTGACATGCAATCACACACAAGTCAACATGGTCTCAACATCACTTGCTATCGATATGACCCTATATGGAGTTCATCAATATAAACTTCAAATCTAACGTAGGACTATAACATAATCCGACTAAATGTAAGTATGTAGTATGAAAACCCTCACTGGAGCCTTCACCCTCATACTTACTACCGTCTTAACCCGAAAACAAGGTACGTACCTTATATTCAAGTTACCTTAAAAAAACGGTTATAAAAAATCGTTGTTAAATTTTCGAATAAAATATACCATCGAATACAAGGTACGTACCTTGTATTTGAATACAAGGTGCGTACCTTGTATTCGAGGTGTGCCTTGTAACTGCCACGTAACTCTCTCTCTCTCTCTCTCTCTCTCTCTCTCTCTCTCTCTCTCTCTCTCTCTCTCAAACACACACACATACACTCGAACATACGTAATGTTCGAATGTATGTCGGATCGTGAGCTGCAGTGCAGTAAATCTGTTCTATTCCTGATATTATTACTAATATTTAGTATTTCCTGTGTATTTTTTCCCCTCTTTGCCTAGGAAAGTTGCATCCTAAAATTTGTTTTATAAGGTACATACCTTGTATTAACCTTGTATTCGGGTTAAGACAGTAGTCAATACGAATTCAATTGAACAGTAAGATGACTTACACTGGAGCCTTTATCCTACCGCTTTATGAACCCGATCAAACTATCTTCAGACAAGTAAAATAAAGATTTATATTCGCGTATCTTTCTTTCGTTCTCTTATTTATTTTTGTTTGATCACCCCCAACAATGTAGTCCCTCATACGTAGTATGGGGGGTCTCCGTATGGCCTGTGCGTACAGTCGTACGAACAAGCATACGGTCGCACGGACGGACGCTGCTGCCTGGGTCCCGTGGGGGGGTGACGAGGGGGTTTGAGCCCCATGAATGGTAGGAGGGGTCTCCAGGGGCCCCATAGTATTTTTTATTTTTTATTTTCTCATCAAAAAATATATAAAAAAAGACTGTTAACGGCCTCATGGGTGCGAGTCTGCTAGAGGCAAGGGCGGTTGAGGGGGTGGGGGGTTAGTTTTTGTTTCAAAGGTCGGTGGGAAGAGGGACCAATGGTAAGGGATCAACTCTCAACTCAATAAAAAAGAGAGTGTGAAAGTTAACACACACACTTTGTGTTGTCGCCCACATAAGAGTGTAGAAGGGAGTTGTTGACGCCAACAACACCACTCGTGACCAATGGACCCCGGAAAATACGCCGAATTGGATAGCGAAGCTTATTTACGAAGGGTTGGCGAAATCGCTAAAAACGTTTGGCGAAGTCTTGGTTTGGGCTAGCGAAAAGGAAATATTCATTTATGAGTTCGTGTTTTGTGAACAACGAAGTGTCCTTTTTGAGAGAATTACAAGTTATGGGCAATCACGAATATCTCAGAATTCCACTTCCGGTCTTACTTAGTCGTTTTTTTTGGGGGGGGTGGATTATATCCCGAAGTGCGTTCGGAATTTCGGTACCGAAAATGCACTTCGGGATTTCGGGATTTTACTTGGTCGTTTTTTCGAAGGGCTGATTACATCCCGACATGCATTCGGGATTTCGGTACCGAAAACGCACTTCGGGATTTCGGCATTTTACTTAGTCGTTTTTTTTGGCGGGGGGGATTATATCCCGACATGCGTTCGGGATTTCGGTACCGAAAACGCACTTCGAGGTTTTATGATTTTACTTAATCGTTTGATTTTGGGCGGTGATTATATCCCGACGCGCGTTCGGGATTTCGATACCAAAAACACACTTCGGGATTTCGGGATTTTACTTAGTCGTTTTTTTGGTGTCGTGATTATATCCCGAAGTGTGTTCGGGATTTCGGTATCGAAAATGCACTTCGGGATTTCGAGATTTTACTTAGTCGTTTTTTGGGGGGGGTGATTACATCCCGACGTGCGTTCGGGATTTCGGTACCGAAAACGCACTTCGGGATTTTGGGATTTTACTTAGTCATTTTTTTTTGCGGGGGAGATTATATCCCGACGTGCGTTCGAGATTTCGGTACCGAAAACGCACTTCGGGATTTCAGAATTTTACTTAGTTGTTTGGTTTTGGGCGGTGATTATATCCCGATGCGCGTTCGGGATTTCGGTACCGAAAACGCACTTCGGGATTTTGGGATTTTACTTAGTCGTTTTTTTTGTAGCGTGATTATATCCCGAAGTGCGTTCGGGCTTTCGGTACCGAAAACGCACTTCGGGATTTCGGAATTTTACTTACTCATTTTTTTGGGGGGGGTGATTACATCCCGACGTGCGTTCGGGATTTCAGTACCGAAAACGCACTTCGGGATTTCGACATTTTACTTAGTCGTTTTTTTTTGGGGG